CTGTGATCTGGTAAGGCTGACCCCCACCTCAGGGTTAGGTGATCAAAGAGCCAGCCCCTGAGTTCATGTCAGAGCCAGTCCCTGTTCCTCTTACTAGGGAACACACTTGGAGACTGAGCTGCCATACTCCAATCAAGGACCATTCATGGAGATAACCTAGAACCCCTGCATGTACATAGCCCATTACTGAAATCTAGGCAGGCAAGGGGAAAGAAGGGTTTACATTTGCAAAACAATTAAATTCAATGTCTAACTGATGTTTGACCTAGCTCTTAATTTCTTGACAGTACCAACATTACTATGCTAAGTACTAAAAAAAAGTGCTCGGTACTGTGGGAGAATATAGTCTCATATGGTGAGGGATTTGTCTTAATCAAGAGGTTGAAGAAAGTATCTCAAGGAGGTGACACTTAGGTGGTCTTGAAGTAGGGGTGAGGCGAAATTCAATGTGGCCAGAGTAAAATATGTAAAAGGCCAGGGGTGAAAAAAAAAGCATGGTTTATTTGGGAAAGAGGGCTTGGCACAGGAGAGTGTTTTTGTTCTTCCAAGAACAATGCTTCTTTATTTGGCAGTGAAACTGGCTGTACTTCAAACACTTCTTCCCCATAAGGTAGTCCAGGATCTGCGCGGCAATGGCCGTGAAGCAGGCCAGGATGCTCAAGGAGCATGACGGGCAAGTCAGCAGCTGTGCGTGTTTGGAAGTCAATGAACACTTCGCTGCCTGTTATTACTTCCTGCTAAGTTTGCAGCTAGTGTCTGCTGCTTTAAGCTTCTCAGACTTCCTTTGGGTTCAACGCTTTGATTGGTTCAGGTGAGTGGGGACTTCTGCTTGTAGTTTCTGACTACATCATTTTGAGGTAGGTCCACGAAAAACAGAAAGCTCTCTTGGCAACTGAACATACTCTCGTAAGTTATGGGATCCCATCCTGCCATGGCAGTGTTTCAAGATTCTTCAGGTTTTTCAACATAGACTAACCGAAACAAACAAAACAGAAAGAAACAAAACATCAGTTTCTTCCCAGTAGCCTCCAGGACACTCCTTCAGTTTTCAAGCCCAGCTTTTTTTCTTTTTCTTTTTCTTTCTTCCTTTTTTTTCTAAAAATAGAAGGACTGGACTTTTAAATTGAGATCCAAATAAAGAAAATTTCATTTTTAGGCCTAAGTGTCCTTATGTAGGTTTGAGATCTCCTTTTTGTTCTGTTGAGAATATGCTCAGAATAAGACCTCAGATATTTTGGTTTGGTTTGGTTTGGTTTGGTTTGGTTTGGGCTGTCTAGTGAGCCTTTGACCAGAGATTGGTATAGCTTTATCCCCCAAATGGTGGTTTGGGGTAGAATTTAAATTGGCAGTGGTTTGCTGTAGTAATTAATTTTCTCATTGCTATGATCAAATACCCACCAAGAAGCAAATTAAAGGTTAGGAATAAGTCGGTACAGAAGATCAGTTTTTGCACAAGCAAGAGTACAGATCCCTAGCATCCAAGTAAAAGCTTGGCAAAGCTACATGCAACCCCAGTGCTGAGACAGTGGTGGGGAGTGGAGACAGGAGGTTCCCTATGGCTTACTGGCCAATCACTACAACAAAAAGATGGAGATCTTTGGATTAAATGAGAGACTGACTCTCAAAGAAGGAAGTTGGGAAATGATAAGTGTAAGACACCCAACAACTTCTTCTGGCTTCCTTAGACATGCAAATATGAGCACACAGCATGTATGTAGACCACACACACAGACACACAGACACACAGACACACACTATGCACTGAACACAACCCACACCCTATACTTAAACACACACACCAGAAGCAACTTAAGAGATGTTTTGGCTTACAGTCTGAGCATACAATCCACGGCAGAAGGGGCAACATGGTGGCCAAAGTGACTCACAGTTGCAGCCGTAGGAATATGAGGCTTCTTACTCCTATAAATGGACACAAGGAATGGCCAAGGACTGAACCCTCAAACACGTCTCAGTGATGGACTGCCTCAAACAAAGTTCCACCTCTTGGAAATTCCAAAAGCAGTATCATAGCTGGAGACGATGTGTATCATTCATAAGGCTATGGGGGAGAGTTCGTATCTAAACCACCACTCTCATCAACATCACAACCCGGACATGGATGATTCAATAGGTTTAGGACAGGCGCAATTCCAGTTCTAAAATGGCAAGTGGGATTGTGCCATTTCCGTGCTGAATTACAGTTAACCTCTTGGACACCTTGGATGGGTGCCTGCCTCAGCACACAAGATGGCAAATGTACCTTGGCAACTTCGCGGTGCTACACAGCTGGCACACAGTTAGCTGGTCTCTCCCGCTGGCATCCATCTATGGAACGCCATGTACTGTTCTGAGGCAATTCCAGAGTCTTTAGAACTTTGACACAGGTCCTTTAGCAGTGACCCGGTTTTCATGGTAAAACACCTTTCTCTCTTTGGAGTCCTGTATGTTGTCAAATTGATGCCCAGCATTAGATTGCGGCCTGCATACACTTTGTTAGCTCACTATAAAGAGACAAGATAAATGGCCACTTTTCTAGCATCTGTTGGGAAAGGTGAATTTTTCTCCACTAACCCATTAGAAGCCCTGCTTCTACTGGTCAGAACCTTGCTACTAGAGATTTCACTCTTCCTATTTTTAAATTCTTAAAAAAAAAAAATGTTTTGTTTTGTTTTGTTTTGTTTTCTCCTGTTCCTGTGTTCCTATGGGTTTGGTTCTGCTCCCAAATCAAGAGACTAGTATTTTCCATTTTGATAGTCAGAAATTGACTCAGGGTAAAGCCTCTCTTCTTCCTTTTTTCTCTCTTCCTTCCTTCCTTCCTTCCTTCCTTCTTTCCTTCCTTCCTTCCTTCCTTCCATCATTTCTTCCTCTCTTCCTTCCTTGCTTTCTTTTTTCCTTCTTTCTTTCTTTCTTTCTTTCTTTCTTTCTTTCTTTCTTTCTTTCTTTCTTTCTTTCTTTCCTTCCTTCCTTCCTTCCTCCCTCCCTCCCTCCCTCTCTTCCTTCCTTCCTTCCTTCCTTCCTTCCTTCCTTCCTTCCTTCCTTCCTTTTCCCTTTCGCTACCTCATGCTACCTCTCTTCTCTTTCTTCTTGATCTAAATCTTTTTAATTGGGATCACAGAGCCCATTAATTTTTGGAACATTTGAAATCTCTCAGGAAACTGCAGTTTTGTGTTTCCCATAAACATCAGCAAATTCTAACCATTTCCTGGTAATATAGCAGAAGGGAGAAAAGGCCACAGTCACTAAGTCCAAAGCTGTGAATGCAGAAATTGCTAAAAATAACTCACAGAACGAATCAGGAAACTTGGCCAAACTTCGGTGGCCTGGAAATTTTTTCAGCAATGTCGCAATCCACACATGAAGCTATACGGACACATCTCAGAGTTTCTCGCACTTAATAATTCATACACTACCTCAGGTATCACAATGAAAGGCTTACATCTGTGTTCTGCTCAGCACTGCACCGCGTCCAAGCTGCTTCTCTGTCTCTTCCCTTTGGCCTCTAGGATAATGAAATGTGTATCTCCCATCACTCCCAATGCCATTGTCACAAACACTGCAGATGTCTCAGGGGAAATGACCAAGAAGGGGATGGGTTAGTTCAGGAACAATGGGAATTGTACTTACTGCTTGCCCTGCCTCTTCCTGAACCAGCCCTGAATTGAGTCTACTTTTAAATTAGAGGTAATGTCAGGAAGCAATGATGAAGAGTAGGGAGGTGAAGTGAGAAAGGAAAGGAATCCAGTTGGAGCTCAGTCTTACTAGGCCACTCTGGAATAGAGTGTTCAAGTACATTTTCAAAAGATAAAATTTATAGGCAGATGTGATGGTACACACCTGTGAGTACTTTGAGGGCTAACACAGGAGAATTAATTAGGTCATGAGTTCGGGGCCAGCCTGAGCTTTAAAGAGAGTTCTGATTTAGCCTTTCAATGATAGAAAGACCTTACCTTACTAAAAGAGAAAAGGGAAGAGGGGAAGACAGGATCGTGCCCTGTGCAAACATATAAGTAAGCATATCAATGATTTCATTCAACTCTTCAATTATTAAGGAGATAAGATGTCACAATGTATTTAAATAGAAGTTTCCCCTTTTTCCTAAAGGACAAAATCATTGACATTTTTAGGAATGGAAATTATTTGCCCTGATATGGGTGGAAACATCATCTGCCCTTACCAGCTCTACAGTCAATGTTCTACAAGTGATTTGTACCCGCATAGATTTGTGAAATATGCTTTGTGCTCAATAGCGTCTTCTAGACATGACAGTGAAGCCACTCCCATGAAATCTCATATATATGGTCACCTAAACAACAGCTGCATAATGGCAATACCAGTTAGCATACCGGCATAGATTCGGGGACTCTCACAGGCTTCCACACCTAGAGAGATGAACAACCACAGACAGCTGGTGGCTGCTGAGAGGGGGACATCAGTCTTCTCCAGGGATGAGCCCTTGACAGGATGCATAGTCCCAGTGGTCAGCCCTACACACATGTATAAATAAGCAATACTAAATGTACTTGGCAGTGTGTGTGTGTGTGTGTGTGTGTGTGTGTGTGTGTGTGTGTAACTAAAGAAGAGGTCATGAATTTGAGACAGAGTTGGGGGATACACTGGAGGAACTGCAGAGGAAAGAAGAGTGTGGAAATGATATAAACACAGCACTGAAGTATACAATTCTCAAAAAATTTTAAATTAAATTTATTTTTAAAAAATTAAATTAAAAAAAACCCAAAACTAAGTAAGTACCCCTGCCCCCATGGACCTTACAGGGTAATGACCTTATTAGTACTTTTAATAATACCTTCATTATTTGTCTTTACATTGCATAATTTGTCAACATTTAGAGAAAACTAACAAAAAATGAAATTAAATATTTCCTCTCTCCTATTTTGATTACTTCCATTAAATTATTCTCTCATATCGGTCTTATGTCAATCTTTTAATCCTAGTGTTAATTTTGGTATATATTTTGTGTACAAGTTTTCTTTTCTATTTTTTTAAACATAGAACAATTCACAGATTTTTGTATCATCCTTGTGCAGGGGACATGATAATTTTCTCTGTATTGTTCCACTCTTTAGTGTATGTACTGCCAAAGTGAGCACTGTGTACAAGTTTTAATACACAAATGGTCTTGGCAAGTTCTTTATGAGTGTCATATCACAAGTATGTTCAAAAAGGAGAAGTTTAAAAAATCTGAGTAGTTTGCCAAAAAGAATACTTAGTCAAATAATCAAAGTTATATTTTTGGAGCTGGGCTGTGGTGGTGCATGCCTTTAACCCCAGCACTTAGGAAGCAGAGGTAGGCAAATCTGCAAGTTCTAGACTAGCCTGGTCTACAGCATGAACTCTAGGACAGCCAGAGCTACACAGAGAAACCTTGTCTCAAAAACCAAGAAGTTTTATATCTTTATAAAATAGACAGGAGTCTATAAAAAGTCAAACCACACCCGACATGCACTTGATGGAGCATCTAAGTATGTCTTCTGGCCATTTCACCATTGTCTTTCGTCTTTGGGGTACTTTAGTAAAATACATTTGTCTGATATGAACCAGAGGAGTTTATTATTCTGGAAGATTGAAAGTCCAAGATCAAAGTGACAGAATTGTCATTGTGAAGGCCCATCCTTCATAGATGACAGCTTTTGTGTGCCCATCTGGACACGGGACTAAACAGGCTCTCGCAACCCTCTTTTTTCTTTTTAATAAGATATTAATTCCACTCATAATGATGACCTGATCACTTCTGAATGGCTTTTCCTGTTAATAGTATCACCTCTTGCAGAAGTTTTTAACCGGTAGGTTTGGAGAGGCACAAGCATTCAGGTCATGGCAAAAGCTCTCTAACAACACCCATAGACTATCTTCAGAGATTTCACACTTAAGTAGTACAAAAATCAGGATATTTACTCATTAATTCCAACCTAGCATGGCCTGGGAACTTTTAATGCTCCAGCTTTCTGTGTGTTCAGGCCAAGGACCATCCCTGACAGTGAAAGTGAAGAGGTCACAGGTGAAAGTCAAAGGTGAATGGGGGACGATGGAGGAAGTGGACCATGAGATCTCCTGCTCTACCTATCTTTTTTGTGCACTTGTTGGTTTGACACTTCGCCTCCATCACATTTCTTGACAGAATATAAATTCCCTGAAGACCATGTATGTTACACTTAGTTTGTGCTGTCTCCTCAAATACAGCCTACTGTGCAGCACACAGTAGGCAATCCATAAATTGATGGTGAGCGTGTTGAATAAATACAGACTGGGCCTTTAAGATGGGTTGCAGTCCTGTTTTAGAGGACAGGCATTTGAGAGAAGTCTAAGAGGCTCATGCAAGCAGGCTTTGTGTAGTGTCCTTGGACATGATCAACTCAGACTATTGCCAATTATTCCATGGTCAGCCTCCACCCACCCCAATCGTGTTCACATCAAGAACAGAGGAACACAGAGTACAGAGTGTTTACAACATACTTGAAAATAACTAATGTCACAATAATATACCGCCCACTCACCGGGATTCGCCATGCATTGCCGCCTATGTCTATTTGTATGCTTTACAGGCCTTGTATATACACTTCAAGATGTGGAACAAAGAAGGCATAAAAAGCAAAGGGATATTTTCTGTGCTGTGTGCAATGTCCTGGGCCAAGAGAGAGCTCAGGAAAGTCTGAAAACGCTAAATGGCATGTAGGCCTCATGAACAGACTCAAGAGCTGTACTGGTTTTATTAAGTAGCCAGATGGTTTTTCAGAGTATCCAGAAGAGCAGACAGGTCCCAGATGACAAATGATGAGGGGCCCTCCCTGTGGGCAATTTCTAAGACAATGTGCTGACATTAGGAGTGGAATAAATCCAGAGCTGTGCTGTTCATGCAAATTGTCAAAGAAAAGCAGGTGCTCTGCTCTGACCTTACCTAAATCAGAGTTTGCTGGAAAAAAAAAAAAATAGCCAAACTCCTTCAGTTCAATTTCAACAGCCAATACCTCTACTCCCAACTCCAAAAACAGAGCAAAACAAATAAAAAACTGGCAAAACTATTCCAAATAAAAACAAAGTAGAGAAAAAATTAACTTGAAAATTGTCTTTTGCTTGAAATGGTTGACATATGTCTTGCAAAAATCTCATTACATCTGGCTGCCTAAAATCTACTTATTTTAAGTAGATGGTTCATGAGTGTATCGTCTTGTCACATCATAGAGAAATATGTTATATAAATATATGGGGCACACAGGTCCTTATAGGTGTTCATGCCACATTTTCCTTCCATTGAATGGTTTCCAGATTCAGAGAAACCACTAAAACAGATCGCTTAGGCTTGTCCGCGGTAATGAAACTGCTCTCTGTTCCTTTGTGTCTGCCTCTATGTGTTATATCCTCCAGAAGGAGAGGGCTCTGAGAGTCTGAACCCTCCAGCAGAGTAATCCACAGTGGGCCAGTGGTCTCCACAGAATAAAAGAACAATTGTTAAACGACCTTATCTTCTACTACTATTCAAGCATGTAGACGTTGAGATGCATTAGAAAACAGACAATCACTCACTAAAATGAATTGATACTACCATGGAGCAGGTACTGCTTATTTTTGGTGTCAAGAGAAATAACTTTCGCTTTCATGGAGCTTATTCATTGCCAGGGACAACAGGGCAAAGGACATATTTTACAAAACTCAAAGTAATAAACATGAACAATTATAGTAAAGAACACGCTAAATAAAGGATAAGTATAGAGAGTAACTATAAAAATAGGAACTTGGTAAAAGGAGTTGAGAGAGTCTTCAGGAGGCTATATATCGGTCACTTACTAATAAAAACAGAGCAGGAATGTAGCTTGTGAGCTTGTGAACGAAGCCCAAGATTCCATCACCATCACATTATGAACCAGGCATGCTTATCATCCCAGAACTGATGAACTATAGGCAAGAGGATCAGAAGTTCAAGGTCATTCTTGGCAATGCAAAGAGTTCAAAGTCAGCCTGGGGTACTGGAGATACATTCTCATTCTCTCTCTCTCTCTCTCTCTCTCTCTCTCTCTCTCTCTTTCTCTCTCTCATACACACCCCACATGGTAGATAGGGTGATAGATGGTAGATAGAGAGATAGATAGATAGATAGATAGATAGATAGATAGATAGATAGATAGATAGATAG